CAGAGATTGGGTGTCTTTATAGAGCAGATAGTATGACTGCAAATTGATGGTCCATCAAAAAGCCACATACAGCATATCCTAATAAAGGAGCACTTGCTTTTTGTGTTTACTGGGTTTCTCAGTGTAATGGATGGATGGATAGATGGATCGTTGGGTAGATCGATAGATAGATAGATAGATAGATAGATAGATAGATAGATAGATAGATAGATAGATAGATAGATAGATAGATAGATAGATAGATAGATAGATAGATATTATGGGGGTGTGGGCATATTTGGTGCATCTTTATTTACATGAAATAATGTAACACAGCTTGTTGAATTACCTGGGACACTGGGACCATGAGCTGATGATTTTATAGTTTTGTTCTGCCCTCAGTCAGCAAAAGAACATTGTTTTTTTGGAGTCCTTGACAATTGCTGTGATAGAGAAGTTTGGTATCATATCATTATTCTGTCCTCCACTGTCTTCCCGTTCCTTTATCAATTCTTGTCATCTGTGGGCAGTACATTCTTCTTATTCTTTCTCCTTCTCTCTCCTTCTATCAGACATGTGGAGATGGATGGACAGTGTGCACGTTAGTCCTTGGATGAACTGTAGAAGTGCTGACACGGCGCCAAAACCCTCTTACTGCTTAGTGACGCTTCTATCTGTCTCCCCAGGATACATACCCTCTCATACTCAACGATACACTCTCGCAGTGCTCAATATATACACGGTAACAGGTACACGTCTAGATTACAAAATACACACTATATACAAATATATTCACACAATAGCATAGCATACTTTACACAGAGCTACATTCTAGTGATACGTGCACAAAACCATGTGTGTGCAGGCTACCAGCAAAACACAAATGCTCTAGTTCTATACAATGATACCTATATCACTTTGGCGGTATCACCAATAGTTGGCATCAGTCTCTATTGTCACAACCCTACACACACACACACACACACACACACTCACTATCTCTCCTGTCAGCTGAGTGATGTTAGAGTGTGTATCGCTTTTCTGCTTGTGTTAAAGTGAGTCATCTATCCTTCCACAGCTTCATTACAACCTGCAAGGACAAACACTATCTCTTGCTACCTCTGCCTCTCCAGATGGTGAGAGAGTGAGTGGGGTGGAGACATACTGAAGATAGGAGATCTCTCTTTTTCTTCTCACTTTTCTGATTTACCCACCAGGCCTCTCTCTCCTTTGTTCCTTCATCTATATAGTTATCTGTTTTGTTTTGTTTTTTTGTCTATCTCCATATATCTAACTTAACACCAGCATGCTCAATCATCATAAGAGTAACATATAACACATGAACTAAGCCACACAAATGCAGGGGTCAACATGGTAAATAGTGAGGGGTTAAATCATAAATAATCAATTAGGTTGTTATGTCTCCCCCTAAAGTGCAATAAACTTATTTTTATAACTTAGGTGAAAATAAAAATTACCCATTGCCATTTGTTGATTAGATACTGGGCAAGTATGTATGTAAGTCAATCTGCAAATTTCTAAACAAAGCCATGTTTAGAAATATGGAACTATACATTTGGTGTTTTTAATGACATTTTGGAAGCTAAGCATCTGTTACTGTATTGTTTATGAATGACCTCCAGATCTTCTTGGTCGGAATAAAATAAAGCATAAAAAAATGATCCAATGGCTTTGTGGCCGGCAACAAATTTTCCTTCCCACCCCATTCTATCTCTAGTCCTTCTTTGTTTAGCAATGGTACATTCCAAACGTCCAAAGAGAAGCCTATCCAACTGCATGCCACAAGTCATTGTCAGGCGTGGTGACAGTCTCACCGTTCTCATGTTCTTCTCCGCCCTCTGTCTGCAGCTTCTGTTTCTCCCTTCATTTCTTCACACCTGCTATCCCATCTTCAGACACCGTGTGTCCCGACTTTCCTCTTTCTGCTCTTTATCGTGTCTACTTGTCTCTTTTCTCTAATTAGCCTTGCAGCCACCTGTTCCTCATTTATAATCAGCTGCGCACTCCACACTTGTTAGCTTGTCAGAATGACACGGGAGGTCACGCACAGAGTATATCAGTGATTCAGGTGGTTATGATGTGAAAACGCCTTTACAAATGTAACTGTTGGCTGCTAACGCTGCAGAGGCCAAACAGGTAACAACTTAGCAAGGCACTAATGGGGAAGAGGGGAAAATATTTTTTACAGTTAAATCAGGAGTAGGTGAATCCAAAACTATGCATCTTTCACCATTAAACAACACATTAGCGATGGCTGATAGCAAACTTGTGACTTTTCAAAATAATGTTACAGTCCAAGGTCATATATTCAAACAGACAGGTATTAATCCTGAGCCTTTTTAAACGTAAAGAGTAAAGGCAAATTCCAAGGCCCTCATTTCCCTAATGCTTTTCACAGTGTTGTGCAATTTTGTTCCTGGCAAGGTTGAACTCTGTTCCTTAATTAAAATATCCATCCCTGATTTTTTTTACTTCAGTGTTTTCTTTATTCATATACTGTAGCTTGTTCTCTTCTTCCTAGGGGGAAGATTAAGATGTTGATGTTGAATAAAAATTTGAATGTCCTGTCTATAACCCCGCCACATTCCCCAGAGGGGAGGGTTTTATAGCTGCACCACACTTTTGATTAAAAATAAAACAATAAATCAGTGGTTTTATGTTTAGTTACACTTTTGGTTGAAGATTGTTAGAACAAAAATAACAAATAAAAATTGTTGTTCACATGTTCAGAAAGCAATTGGGAGAAAATACAGGCATAAAACAATACAAAACATAAGAAAAGCTTTAGTTTTTAAGGATCTACAGGGAGCATGAATAATACATTGCTGAAACCTCTTATTCTCTACATTTTAAATGGCTCCCTGTCATCAGAAATAACACAGTCAAGAAGCATGAGGGGACTTGTACGCAACACAGTGGCTTCTGCCAGTTCATAGTCAATAGTTCTTAGTTGTTTTTTTTACTTCCTAAGTGACTTTAAACTTTCAACTACTCAAGTGATCTCAATGGTCCTGTTACATGCATGTATTTTATGTACATTTGACATTTATTAATTTGAAAGTACATGCTCAGGTGCTTGAACAAGAAAACCATATAATGGTTTTTGACTAGGACTTTCAGCAAGTCACAATTTTTCTGAACCACGCAAAGTTAATGGCAGGAGTCCAGGCTCAGGCGCCATCTACTGGCTTATAAAAAAAAGCCAGATTTAAAGTATATGGATGTACTTTCCAACCAAATACTTAAAGCCTGGCTGTAGGAAACAATAACATTTTCTCTTAAAAACTCAAATTAAATGCTCATATAAAAACAGCAATAGGCTTCAGGAGTGTGATTCTTAAAGTCTGAGAGTTTAGAGTTCAAACAATTATTCATATAAGTTTCCTATTGATCTCACCTGAAGGTCTCTTATCCCATCAACTGCAGACAGACTCATTACTCTAAAAGACAAACCTATAGACAGCAGGGACTGATAAGGCTGGATCAATGCCACTGATCACATCCAACATTTAGCATGGATAAGCACACAGAACTATAAAACACAGGAAGGACGGAGTACGAGCCTGATGTAAACCATGCATTTTAGCCACAGCCAACTCATTAAAGCCCCTTTGAAAGAGAAAACCAAATCTTATCCATTAGCAAATTAATAATCCCTAAAATTAAACTGTTACTACTTTAGCCATAAAGTTGAAGGAGCTCTGCATCTTTAACAAGATGAAGAGTCCATCTGAGGAACATGCTTGGCCACGTGGGGCTGTGGTGGTTATTACACATCATAAAACTGTACTTGGATGAAAAAAGATCACTTTTACTGATGAAATAAAATATATGACGTTTGCGTCTTGAGTGTCAAACTAAAAATAGACTTTTGCACTGAAAGACCTTTTACAGATCCTGCTCTGGAATAGTCTTATTCTGCTTCATAAACCATCTTTAAATCTGCACACGTTAGCGCTTCTTTAACTGGATAATATACTCAACACTTTCTTATCCTGTCAGTATTAATAAGATTATATTCCTGACATTTTTGTCCTTTTGAATAGGTATTATAACTGATAGGTCTCTGACAAGGAAAGCAAGGTCAAGTGACACGATTTAGCACACTGAAATAAGTAGTTGTCTGCTGTAAACTGCAAGAATGTTTTGGACTGATTTGGACTCAAAATATGTTTTTTTTAAAAATATGTTTCAGGGAAAAAACAAAAAAAACAAAAAAAATAAATATGTTTCAGACAAAAAAAAACCAAAAAAAAACCAAAAATAAAATATGTTTCAGACAAACAAAAAACAAAAAAAAACAAACAAAAACAGTTTGGTTATTATTGTGAACCAGAGCTCTAAAAATCTCTGTCTTTGCAACACACTAAGACTGCCAGTGGAGGCACCATTAAGTACAGTTTGTGGTGGCAACTCAAAGGCCTCCACATGAGAGGCACCACCAAGTATGTGCTTACACTGGAGGTCGAACTCAGGACCTCCTTTGTGTAAGGCAGGCTCGATAAGTCACTAGACTATTAAACTAAAAATGATTGAAATATACAGTAGGAAGATACTTATCTATTGAGCAAAATTCATGCTGCATCATAAATAAATACTAAGGAGCACTATAATAATAAGAAAAAACAATAATCCAAAGAAATAAATAATTCAAGTCCTGCAATGACTTTGAGCACTGGTTCTCAAGCTATGGTACATATACAACTGATGGAACTTGAGTTTCTTCTTGTGTTTTTTGTGTGTCTATACTGTGTTTGGGAATTACAAACAAAATAGTGTCAATTTTGGGGATATGTGTGGGTAGGGCTGATAAATAGTGTAATATTTTTTAAAAGTAAATAAATGATATCTTTCAAATACTGTTCCAAACAGCGTAGTTCTGTGTCGGTGTATTTTAATGTTCACATTGGTATGGTTGGAGACCACTGTTCTCACATGAACTCTTGCTCTAGATACCGTGAGCAAATGCACATTCTATAGTATTTTACTGTGTAAAAGGTTGAATGACTCACCAGCTGAACTTCCACTGTTGCTTTACAACGTGAGGCACTCCTTCACTCAGTCAACTGTGAGCTCTGCTGAGGAAATCTGAACTCTGGGCGGGTTGTTGGATGTTTTACAACTCCTTCATTCACTTCCCTCTTATATGCTGCAACAGCCACCGACGCTGACATCCACATTAGCACCAGGCATGCTATCACCCGAGGTAAACTGACCTCTTGCGCGTTTGCGGCTGACTTTCGTACCAGTTCACATCATGGGTGACTCGGACGCAGCGGTTTTAAGTCGCCGGAGAAGAGCGACATTGGCGGGGGCAAGAGGAGTGAGTGTGCAGCTGGTGAACGGAAGGACTGCGGAGCTGAATCGGAGACCAGTGACCGTCGGTGTTAGCAATGATAATAGTGCAATAAAGAAAAAACAAAAGCGGGACGGTTCACTGGAGGTGCCAAAGAGTGAAAAAAGGAAACGCAAGAATGACATGAGCGACCGTCTGAGGTAAGTCGGTAAACTTTACTTTTTGGGGGGATTCAGCTCTAGGGAACGGTAAGTTGTTAGCCATTTTTCTGCTAATGACTGGTAATGCTACCAGTCATGTTGGTATGTTTACTTTAAGCTTCATTTGTTTAGCTGCTAGTGTAGTTAGTTACTTTAGCAGACCCGTCAGTTCCGGTTGGTACAGTGCCCCAGCTCACACGCACTGGTTTTTGTGCCTTGTAAACACTGAGTAGCTGAAGTCATTCCCTATAACTTTACCTTAACGTTTACATTACAAGTGCATGTTTCATCTTAACGCAGATCCCAGTTCTAATCCTAACTCCTAAACAAAGCCCAAGAATAACTTCTCACTCAGTGGGGACCTGGCAAATGTCCACATGAATGCAAGTGTCCCAACATCAACAGTGTTTTCTACGTCAACAAAACGCATTTATTAATCTATGTTAAACCCCAAAGCCTGTTACATAAAGTATAGATAACTGTAAATTTATGAGTACACAGTTTTCTCCTTCTCCTCCTCCTTCTTGGGTAATCTAGCACTAAGAATTGCAAAATCCTTTTACCTGATAAGTACTTTCATAACCAAATGAAAGGATCAACAAATACTTAGCCTTACTTGTATAAGGTAAGATATATACTGTAGGTCAAAACACTGCATGACCTTTTACCTTCATGTATTAATAATGTTAAGCCATTTCTGTCCATACGTTGAACCTACAGTACCCTTAAACTTCAACTGAATTTATCTCTGACTCCCTTTTTGTTTTTCTAGTTGCCACAAAACACAGGAGTCGCTCCTGAGTTCAGCCAGTGGTTTCAGCAACTACAGGGGAATACTCAACTGGTGTGTGGTGATGCTGGTAAGATACAAGTGTACACAGTTTTTGTTACACTGGTTTTTGTGGGAAAGATTGAAGGTTTTAATTAATTTTCTTCTGTCCAACAGCCAGGAATGGTGTTGTGCTTTGTCCTTATTAATGAGATGTTAAAATACACTTGTAATATCTCAACAACGTATGGTTGTAAAAGGAAGGGGCAAGGTGTAAGATGAGGACAAATGGAGTGAGATGAAAGAGATAGAGGAGGATCATGTCAAATGTAAATATGATTGTATTAAGATACCAGATATGACAATAGTAGTGATTAAGAAATAATACAAGCTTCAACTGATCATCCTATTGCAGTGGTTCCTAATGTTCTCTTCGGCGCCTCCTACTGTTGTTTGGACTATTGTAGCCCTTCTCCCATTGCTCTGCCACATTAACACATTCACATATATTGCATGAAACTTATTTTGTTTTTGTTTTACTCTGGCACGAATAAAATAAAAAGTTAAAATATAAATGTATTTGCTCCGTGGGTGAACAACTGAAATACATCTGTGATCAGTAAAGATAGACAGATATATGTCATTCATATCTATTATAAAGTTTGTTTTTGTTCTGCAGGTGCTGAGCAACGCTCGCCTCTTCCTTGAAAACCTTTTAAGGTGAGTAAATTAAAGACTTATGCAAATTTTCCATATTTGCCGAGAGACTAACCAATAACCCCTGACCCTCTGGCAGGCCGGAGTTTATTCATAGCATCTTTTAAGATGTAACAGGTAGAGGACGTGTGTCATTAAAAGAGCTGCATCAACAACATCTGCATGGATTTTATAGCACCATATTAAAGTAGCTTACTGGGACCCTTAATGGAGCTGTTAGATCCTGACTGTCATTAGACACCTGTGCCTTTGCTGCTATTCCTCTTCAAGTCAGCGTGTTGAATAATCCTTAATGATATGTCTCCTCGTTAATTAGGCTGGTTTATTTGTCCGTAGGTACGGCATACTAGTGGACCCCATTCAAGTCATTTCCTTGTTTTTGAAAGACCCCTACAGCTGGCCGGCAGCGTGCTTAGTAATCGGTAAGTTAACTCTTTTCAAACCAGACATTTACAAATCGGTTAACCCAATGGTAAGGAGACATCACAGTACATGCGAGCAGCTGTGGCTCAGTAAGTACGGCGGGTCATCCTGCTTAATCAGTGCTATCCCCAGCTCCTTCACCCTGAATTGCTTCTGGCAACTGTGCTGGCAGCATGTGAATGGGGGTAATTGATGTGTGATTAAAAATGTGCTGCATACACAGTAGATGTGATGCATGAATGTGCTTGTGAATGGGGAAAAAGGTCAAACTGTACAGCGAAGGACTGAATGGGCAAGAGTGAAACTGGGGCATTAAATTACATACACTTTACTGTTTAGTGGTGAGATGAAAATATTGAATAGAAAGTTATTTTAATTAAACTCGTTAACAAAATGGTTGCTTTAGTTTGTAATGAGACGTGTTTCTGCTCTGATGTGCTACAAACTGAAAAAGGGGAAAAGGCTTAAACTAAAGAAACATTACTGTATTTTACGGACTATAAGTCGCTCCAGAGTATAAGTCAAACAAAATGTGAAATATTTTAATATATAAGACACACTGAGTACAAGTCAAAAACCTAACCAAAGGATGAAAAAAGTGAAACTTATAGTCCGGAAAATATGGTAATTGCTGCATTAAATGATTGGGAAACTGACTGTCCATATTTTGGGCTAAGTTCTCACTGACAAAAGTCAAACAAAAATCAAATTTTTTATAACCCATTTTTAACCCATATCTGACTTTTTAATGACAGTCTGATCTGCTCTTTTTTTTTTCTCTAATTCCACCCCGGCTCCACAACTCTGTGGCAGGGCATGGGAGATGTGGCAAATATACATTAATGTATGAATCACTTGGCTAATGTTGCCCCTTCCACAAATACAACCTGTGACATCACGTCTATACTAGACCGGGCCCAGGACTGTTCATACTGCAGTCTGATGTTGGTCACATTAACTGTAATGTAAACAACTACACACAGCTGTCAGTGGTTATGTTGTTTCTGGTGAACATGTGTCATTTATTTCCCATTGTAAAGGAAAAAGTTTTGTGAATTTCTTCAGGCTGTGCCTTGTTTTAAGATACACAGGGGCACATCCTATTATTCATAGCTCTCCTGTTTATTTTTATGGTATACGTATATCGCAGTGCAAGTCTGCAGTGGTACAGCTCATAGTGTCTCTAGAGGGACAACCACCTGCCCTATATACTGCACTGGTGCTGTACTGCAGAAAGAGGTTGTAAGACAAAAGAAGAGAGGGATGGTGGGGGTGTGCGTAGAGGAAGAGTTATGGAAGTTAAAACGTGTAGGCAGGTGTGCACAGGGAGGTTTAGAGAGTTTCCAACAAAGCACCAGTAGAAGGCAAGGGTTAAAGATAAGGACACGGGTAAAAGAAATGTCACTGAATAGGACGAGGTAGTTCAGTAAAAGCTAAGAGTGAAGTGGCTCACTTTCAGAGAACAGTTGACATTCGAGCCACAGGCAACTATATGTCAGATGTACATGTATTAAAATGTGTTCTAAGGCTCTGGGACACACCGAGTCATTTACTACTACTGTACACGTGTCCTGTTGCACATCTAAGGAATATAATGACAACATGTGACGCTGTGGTGACCGCTGTTGACTCACAGCTTGAAGGTCACTTGTTCGCATACCACTTCAGCAGGCAGCACCTCCACATTGTCTGTGGAGGTGTTGTCCTCATGTGTGCCTGAATCCTCAGTCTTATTTTCTGAAAAGCTACTAAAAAAAGTTTTTAAGTTTTAAGTTTGTAATCAAGGTAAAATGATGTTAAGTTGCAGCCAAAACATGTGGAGATAAAAGCTTACAAACACTGAAAGATAAACATCCTTGTATGCACATACCTGTTTGTTATGTAATTCAACAAATGGCCTTTTGCTTTTGCAACGTTCTAATGTTGGTGTGTTGGTGTGTGGCGACAGGTTTCTATTTGTGGCTTATAAAAATGATGTGTAATCATGAATTATTTCAATGTAAGAAAATATAAAAAAAACTATAACTTTTTCCTCCCCCTCT